CAACCGAAATTTTTCAGTTAAAAGAGAATTTCCCATGACACCTCCTAGCAGTGGAATTGAAGTGCGGTATAAATATACGTGAATTAAGTCTCAAAAGGTTGCCTGTTGATTGTCAGTAAAATTCTGAAGAGTGTCTAAGTCACGCAGATTCCTTTAGCCTCTTGATCTTTATGTATCTTTATGTAGAAGGTCTTTATCTGATCTTAATTAAAAACAGGAGTTCTCCATGAAACCACGACTTCATGGTTGGAATAAAACTTCCATGTGGTCCCATATCACCTTGTAGTCTTTTTTAATATAATAAAATGTTTGTGTGTATGTGTAAATTTATGCACAAGAATTTGTGAATCTAGGCCAGTGACATGAAATTAGATGTGTCATTGTTCTGTTCTTTATTTCCCTAGCCTATTATTCGCATGTTTTGCAGTGCTCTGCAGGTCAAAGGAAAATGCCAAAGAGATTATATGGAAAGGAGGGGCAAAAAAAAAAGATGACTGTGCTCCATGTAGTTTCAAACATTTAAAAGAAACCCATCCTCATGACTGTTTTTGTTACCACAACAGTTAGGAATACAAAGTCTATATTTAGTCACAAACATTTCCTAAACAAACGGAGAATTTAAGACTCCTAATTGTTATTTTGTAAGAATTAGGTCTAGCAGAATCGCAGTGGAAACATACCTGCTGCCACAGGCTATCATCCATCTCCCCAGCCCATGGTCTTGAGTGGCATCACGGAAATCAGTAGGGATAAATGAATGCAATCTTACTTGAGATGAGCATGTCTGATGGTATCTAACCTTTAGCCTGTGAGCACCACTTTCACATTGTTGATCTTCAAGTTTGGATCTTTTATTATCATTGCCAGGTGTCTGAAATAAATGCAAGCGTGTCCTTGAAACCATGCCAGGCAAGCAATCCTGTGCTGTCATGCAAGCAGGAGAGGGAGGTGCAAGAAGCCATGACTTCCCTGAAGTCAGTGTCCAACCAGGTGTAGTGCACAGCAAGGACCTCAGCCTCTGCTTCCCCCTATTGCTTCTGGGGGATAGGACCTCCCAGCATTTTGGGCCATGGTAAGGGGCTGGTAGGTGCTGGGGTAGTGGTCTGAATCCACAAAGCCCCTGCAAGAGCAGGAGGACAGCTAGGTGGAGGTGAGGAGGACCCACTTTCCCTGTATTTACACCCCTCCTGGCAACCTATTTCCCAAAGTGGCCTTTTGGGTGATGGTCACCCATCCACTGGAGGCAGGGAAAGGCTTGTAGGGCATCCAGGTCATGTTCTGAGAACCTGAAAGCTCTTTTGAGCTGAACTGGCTGAAGACTATGAAAGTAAGGCTAAATCTGTAGTGGAAAATGGCATTTATCTTTCTGAATAAACACAGGCGCTAGCAACATCTTACTTGTTTGTACTGTTCTTGCTTCTTGCCATGCCATAACGGCAAGAAATATGCATCTTGGGGCTTTATTTTCATATGCACATTTTGTTTACATAACCAATGCATTTTTATCAGTAAAACCCGATGTTAACTAAATTTAACAAAGACAAAGCAAGAGGGAAATGTTCATTCCGTGCATGGTGATATCACAGAAACAATGTGTTTGAAGCCTTGTACTTCAAAAATATGCCTGAGAGGAATGGAAAAATCCAGGCTCGTATTGTAAAAACGTGAGTCACAACAGCTATTATCTCTTAAGAAATGGCATTCCAGCTCTTTGATTCAGTCATTGATGATTTCCCTTTTTAAGTTGTGCTTTCTTACCCTTTTAAGAAACATCTGGGCTAACCCTGGCTATTTGTAGAAATGTTTGCAATACATAGATTAAAAGAAATTAGACATAGAAAGGACCCATGAAATTATCTTGTCCATTTCCTGAAAGCATATGAAATTGAAAAAGAATTAGGCTAAATATATATATTAAAATTTGGAACTTTAACTTACATACAATATGAAGATGAAACATATCAAGATTTTTCAATTGTAAGGATGCTGGAAAAATGTAATTTTTTTTAAGGAAAAGTAAATAGTAGAGTAGCAAAAGCTCTAATGAAGTCTGTGTAGGCAGCTATCTCTCTGGAATTTGCAGATAAAGTTGAAAAGATCCAGTTTTGACCAGTTTGAAGTTGATTCAATTTTCTAATAAGAGAAATCTTTAAGCAAAAATAATTCCCTTTTAAAAAAAATGAATCACCTCATTTTTATTAGTTTTTTTCTGGCTGTTTTATCTCCCTCACCACCCCCTATTTTTTTTTTTTCTTTTTAAAAAAAATTCTTAGAAGGATGCTGAATATTCTAGTGCAGATTCATTTTTTGTGATCAAGCAACAGCCATGAAAACTGTGGCACTTAGTAGAGACATTCCACATGTTCTCTTATAATCTTGGTAAAATACTTGGTGTCCCTTATGCTATGTGGCCGTGCCTCCAGTTTGGCTTTATGGAGAAGGCGGTGCAGAGGTGGCTTCCACCAGTTTTCCAGCAAGGGAATATCTGCCTGGCATGGAAGCAGGCACCCAGCCTGTGCTCTGAAGTACTGGGAGCAGGTAGCTGGTGCGATGCGGATCTTGAGCACTCGCAGACAGGTTTCTCCAGACTTAGCCTAGGAAGAGGGTAAAAATAGGGCAAACATAAGTAGCCTTTCCTGCATGCACCCATGTTCCGCAGCTAAGGATGTTCTCAGTCAGAGAAAGCAACTTTGTCTTTAAAACCGTTATTGGATCTTTTACCCTTGGATTTGTCTTGCGGCTTTGTGAATCCTTGCCATTTGCAGCCAACAAGTTTCACAGGATAACTGTGCCATGTGGAAAGTGGCTCCAGTGGTTGCTTCAAACCTGCGATTTCATGTGAAATTTCCCCAGTCTTGTATTATAAGAAAGAGCGACCCATTCACCACCTTCACAGCTCTCATGATCATCTGGACCTCAACAGCTTGCAATGATCTCCTCTCCAGTTTAGAGACCTAGTCTGTGCCCTTCCAGAAGTACTGATCAGCTACTGATTTTTGTTGTCCCCTTCAGCACTGAGATAGATTTCACTGCAAGGAAACAAAAATGGAAATGACAAAAAAACCTCTGAGAATTCTCTGGCCACCTGAACTGATGTCATTTATAGAAAGTGAAATTCTATTTGCTTACACTCGTACTGAGTCACAAAGTGTTGAGCATAAGAAAACTCAATTTGTGAGAAAGCTTCTAATTTCCTGTTTTTCAGGAGGAAGGGGAAAAAAGAAATGGGGGGGGGGGGGGGGAGAGAGGGGAAAGGAATCAAGAAAATAAATCTCAGTAAAGAAGAATGTCAGAATACCCAAACTCCAGGAAGGCTAATTCATTTTAGCCCTGCTTGTTCAAACAATCAGTAATGCGGAGTATAATGTACAAGCTCCACTAAATCATTTCTGTATGATAGGCTGTGCTCAATGACAATTTAATGAATTCATTTTAAAACGAAGTCAGAATAGGAAAAAACAGTAGTTATTTGAAAGAGTACTTTACTCAAATAAATTGAGTCAATAAATATGCTATTTGTCATGCAGAGTCCAGTTAAAGTCTTGTTTGCTAACAAAACTGCTGTCATCACAGAGCCTAATAGAAGCAAACTATCTGGAACCATCCACTGTAAATAGACAAATACCATCTGAAAGCAGAAAACAACAATTGCAGCTGAACAAAGAACGGTATCCTGCACACATTGACAAATGCTATAGGGTAGCCCACCTCAAAACCTACTGTTTCGTTGGCCACTAGCTTATATTCTGATTTGGCATGAATGGTCTGGTGGTGGTAAAAAAAACCCAAGGGCTGTGTTTCTTCTGTGAAATGAGTTTTACTTGTTGCGTGGTAAGGGTTTCTCTTGCTGGAAAAACATGCCACTGAAGTCACTACTAAATTGTGCAATACGGCTTCAGTGAACTTGGGTTGGATTTGTGCAGGCTGCTAGAACAGGGATAAGCTTCATCCCTTTTCAAACAGTAGTTTTACATTATTTTCACAGCTATCCGTGTTGTTTAGTGCAGATACAAGACGGCTTTTTGTTCCGCTGTGTTTTTCACGCTTGGCTTGATCCATGTAAGTTGAAGAGATGTGGCAATTCTCACTCATTTTCATTCAGGTGGGGATTGGAAGTGTTAGGAGCGAAGCACCATCAACCCGAGATGGTCAAACCTCACAGGCTGGGTTTAGATGCTCAAACTAGTATTTGGATGGAAGGAGCCTGGTTTTCAGATGTGATGAACTGGCAGCAGTGGCTGTTCAGCACCTCAGAAGCTTGGAGTGCTCTCATGAAGGTCCCAGGGCTTTGCCAGGCACATTTGGGCTTCCAACATCCTTCAGATTGTAGGGGTATGGAGGCGAAGAAAATGCTCAAAAGTCTTGACAGATATCTTGAAAATGGTATTTGCTATCCCAAAGGAAAATAAAAATTACGTTGCAGAAACTTAAGACAGAGATTATGAAGAACTTCTATGTGATTTAAGAATCTGAACTTGACCCTTCACTCTTTAAATTTGGAATAGAACAGCTGGGGCATTTTTAGGGTTTGTATCATGTGGCCGGAGATTGGCTGATTTAAATCTGCCCTGCACTCGTCTTAGGCACATTGTTCATCCACTCCCAGAGCTGCAGTTTCAGAAATGAGTTAGGAATCCAAATACCTGAGGCTTTCAATGAAACTTAAGCTTGTATGAATCTAAGTTACTCCTTAGTTTGAATTTAGGATCCCAAATGAATGAAAAACTTAAGAATACTCCACGGTCTATCTACAGAGGCTTTTTACTTCTGATCACGAGTGAGTCCAAATTGAAATTACAGTTTCAGTCATTTCTGTTTTCCTTGATGTTCTTCTAACCACATAAAAATAGATACATAGCCTACAAGTTATTTGGGTTATTTTTTTCATTCTGATGGCTTTGGTCTTGCCTTGCTCCTGTCACTAACTTTTTGGTACTTTTTGTTTCAGCTGTTTCCACTACTAGGAGTAAAGACCAGTAAAGACAAAGCAGGATGAAAAGATGGCCGACTTCTTGTTACCACCGGGTACTAACAGCTTCCACCGGTTCACGCCTGAATCCTTGGCTGCTATTGAGAAAAGAATTGCAGAGAAGCTTGCAAGGAATGCAAAGCAGGAATACAGAGAGCAGCTGGGTGAAGAAGAGAAACCTCAGCCTCAGTTTGATTTGCAAGCTTGCAAGAAGCTGCCTGATATCTATGGGACTGTTTCTCCAGAGCTCATCGGGGAGCCCTTGGAGGACCTTGACCCTTTCTACAATGATCGTAAGGTGAGCACCAGCCAGCCATCCTGCTTCTTTGCTTTTGCTAAAGCATAAACACTCTCTCTGTTTTGAGGGCTCTGGTTTTTATCTTTCTACAGCCAGTAAAAAAAAATTTTTCCAGGTTAAGGATCAGAGTTGCAGCATGAACAGGGCTCCCAGAAAACATCTGAGCAGGAGAGCAAAGAGGGATAAAAAGCATAATTAAAACCTAGGTGTTTTCAGATAACTCTGGGTATGAATATAGAGTGTCTGAAAAGAGCAGAGCAGTAGCTGAGTTAGTTAAATTAAGCCAGAGGTTTTTATCTACCCTATCTTGCCCTCTTCACAGGTCTGTTTATCACTTAAGCCCCTTAATGTTAAGGGCTTCTGGGTGACTTGAGTCTTGTGCTAGCACTCTGCCTAAGAGCAGGAGGCACCTCCACAGCCATTCCTGGAGAGCAGCCGTTCTTTTCCTGCTGGGGGACAGTTCAACTCCATTAAAGATGGCCAAAATAGACCTGAAGGGAGATGTGAGTGGCGTGTGCAATGCTGGCACTTTGCAGAAGGGTAAGCTTCGTCCCAAAGAGAGCATCACCTGATGAGGAATCATGTGTAGGCTGGACCAAAGCCACAGCAGTGCAAACAGCTCCTGTCAAAAGGCTGTTGACAGCAGAGCTAGGCTGCTTGCTGACTACAGGTTGTTCCCCTTTCCAAACATTTCGCAACACAGGGGACAAAATAAGGCTTGGAAGCACAGTGTATTTTTAGGCAGCTTCCAGTTCTTTCAGGTACTGATGTTCCTGATTTTGGGCTATGCTATTTCCTGTAAACAGTGAATTAATATGACCACAATGGTACTTCTATTAAAACAGTGCAAGAACTATTCTATTAAAACAAGTGCAAGAGCTACAGAAAAAAAAAGTTAAATGGATAAAGACAAGTAGATTACTTACCTGGAAGGGCCAGAATTAATTTACCTTTTAATTTGCCTGCTGTCCCCAGGCACAAGCAACAGGATATAGATTTGCAATTTTAGTGTCATGAAGGCCTTGGACTCAAAGGTGGGTGAGTTGCTTAGAGTTTATCTGTTGGGTGTCCTGATCCTGTCTCTGAGTGAATATTGGTTCCTCTGCGCATGGTGAGGCATCTTTAGGGCTCTGTAAATTGGGCCAGCATCCAATTCACCTTTGCTTTGGATTTAAGATAACTCACAGCATTGGTTTCATCCTCCCATGTTAACCTGAGTACAAAGACAGTGCCTCAGTGCCAGGGTGAGATCCTGTTCTGGAGCTGTGCCTCATGCAGCTTTGTACTTAGTGGGACAAAAAACATTGACTGAGAGCAAAAAAGTGCTCAGGGTAGAGAAGATAGAGTCACGACATAGTGAGGTTCCTGGCACCTGGGGAGAAGAGCATCATAAAAGTCCCTCCACCACATTTTAGCCTCCAGGTCATTTTTTATTTTTAACAGTGATTCCGCTCTCTTCCCAGCCCCGTGACCGGAGGCAATGGCACAGCAGCCTGTAAGAAGGGAAGGAAGAAAAAGTAGTTGGGATATTGCAATAGGACAGGCAACAGCTCTGCTGGGAGAGTCTTGAACAAAACTTTTCACTAAATGAAAAGGAAATTGAGGGTCTTGGAAGTGAGTGGGGAAGAAGTATGAGATACTGGCAGGAATTTCCCAATGGGACGTGGGCTGGGAAAAGCTGAGCATAAATGCAAATACTGAATGTTCTCATTTTCTATTTTGTTTTCCAGACATTTATAGTACTGAACAAAGGGAAGACAATCTTTCGATTTAGTGCCACTCCTGCCTTGTATATACTTAGTCCGTTCCATCCAATCAGAAGAGCAGCAATTAAAATTTTGGTACATTCATATCCTTTCTGTTGATTTCCCTTCTTGTGTATTTTATATGGTTTTTAAACACAGATGGATGGAAGTCAGAAACCATTTTATTTCATTAAGCTGTTTTAAATCGTTTGGCTGAATTTGCTTGCACAAGCAGAAATGCACTTGGATTTTTGGTTTGTTTCCTTCGATATTGTTATGTGAGCTATGGAAATGACTGTGGTATACCTCTGGCATCAGGTGATGTGAACTGCACTGGAGAGTCTGGTGGGTTCACTCACGTTTAAAGGGCCTGACCATGTTTAATAAAGAGTCAGTGGAAGAAATTGGGTGTAGTATCTTAGAAAGGAAGGGAACCAGGAGGCTGGAGCACACCTGGGGAAATCTGCACTGGTGGAGAGCTTTGCCACTGAGCTCTTAAGCAACCTCTCCCATGAGACTCTGTGACACCGTATGCAGATGCAATTTAATTTTGAACCGCCTCAGAACTTAATTTTTTTCCTCTTCTGAAACAGAACATTTAAAAAATTTTGTTCTTTTTTCAGTTTGTTTATTGCAATGTGTTACCCATCTAGGAATAAAAGCACAGGCTGACCTGCCAGACCTTTCAATGGAAGAGATGCCTGATTTCCCCTAGCTCTAGTACTGAAGTTATGCAAAATATATAGATAGATATAGATATAGATTAGATATAGGTATGCAGTGGTTGGTTTGGGCTTGCTTTTTTAACGTGGCCACAGAAACATTATATTCTGACATAGTCATATCTCTCTGGAAGACCAAACTGACCCAAATGTTCAGCTTTGTGTGAGCATTACTAAAAACACACCCTTTTTCATGAGTTGCCTGCTTTCTCTATGGTGTGCATAGGAAACCTAGCAGTGATAATGCAAAGACTCCACATGCTGCTGTGCTAATCATGTGATGTTTTAGTGATGGAAATCCCTCATCTGCAATGCCCATGTCCACCAGAGAGAACTAATAAATACTAAGCAGGTAGCATCTTAGAATAATGGGGTTATTATCAAATTTCAGGGAAAAAAATAGGGAAAGGAACCTGATTCACAATAGTTCTCCATGTGGGGGGTGGGTTATGGATCAGGTTATACGTGCAAGCAGTAGAGCACGTGCTGATGCATACCCACAGCCAAACAGTGTTTATTAGGTACAGTTTGATATCAGCCAAGACGTTAGTATGGTTACTAAGAATACACCATAGAATTTTGCAGAGAGATTTGCTTATGGATCAGGTTATACGTGCAAGCAGTAGAGCACGTGCTGATGCATACCCACAGCCAAACAGTGTTTATTAGGTACAGTTGCATCAGTACAGCCTTGCTGAAGTTAATTGAGGTCAATGAAGGCTAAGAGAAGAATTTGAAAATTGAGCTTCTTAGAGAAAAGCATGTATGTGTGAATATTGGCTCCAGCTTTGCAGGCCTGTTCTGTCTTCTGCTCACTTTCTCCTAAACTGGCTGGCGAAGGCAAGAGGTCACAGGTATGCATAATACAGAGGAACTACATGCCCTTGGTAGCAGTCAACCAAAATATAAGTATGCAAGAAATCCTTATCACATTACTTCGAAGGGTAAAGACCACAGAAGAGTGAATTTGAAAGATATGTCAGGAAAAGAAATATGGTCAGATAAGAAGTGTAAGTTTTGGGACAGAAGGTCATGATGCAAATAGCATTTTAGTTCCAGAAAGACCCAGGTTATCACCTTGTGTTGATAATGTCAGGAAATCCAACAGCTCAATCTTTGGCAACAGCTCCAGTCCCAGTAAAACAGCAGTGAAGTTCCTGCATCAGGCACTGATTTGCTTTCTGTCGATAAAGACCTTTCACATCAACCTGAAACACAAAGGCCAATTGGCTGAGCAGGCAGTCAATATCCCAGGCAGAAAGGAGCCTGAATCGGCAAGTGCTCAGGCAGATAATATCACAGACACGAATCTGGGAACCAGATCTATTTTCTTGCGTGAGTGTAATCAAGCAATCTTTATTTTCCCCAGGGCAAAAGCCAAAAAAGAGCATTAACAAATGGTGCCCTGTCAAGTAAGTGTCTGAAACAACTTCTTTAGTAGATGCTGTATTTCCATTTCCAGTCATTGACTGTACCTTGAAGGCCAACAGCAGAACAGAATAGAGAGGTCAGAGTAAAATCGTCCTATATAGAAGCTGGGGGGGTCACATTTCTTGGTTAAGTAGCTATATGTGGAGTTTTTCCTCTGAGACTTCAGGCAGGATAGATCCTGTATGTTCACTGCTCATCCAGCCAAGCCTGATTAGTCTAGTCATTCAAAAATATGTCCTTCCAAGGGAAAAAAAAAACATCCACAGCCTCCTAATAATGTGAATTAGTTCAATTAACATACCCCTAAACGTCTTCTAAGTATTTCTCCTCTTCTTCAGTGTCTAGGAGGCCTCATGAAAGGACCATGGCCCAGACAGCTGCCCAGAACATAGCCCTGGTTCATTTCTGTCACAGGGTCATGGGTAGTGTAGGTCTACATCCCATCTACATCAAATGCAAAACAGAAGTATTGGATGAACCCTTTTGACTTCTGCATCATTATTAGCTATTATTAACAACTTTATTTACTATCTCCACCTATTAATAAGAGTAAACCACTGCTAACATTTGATTGATGCCTTATGCTTAAAAGGCTCCTCTTAGTTCTTCTTGCCTGCAAGCCAAGGACCGTTCTGTGGTGTCCTTAGCTTCTCCAAGCACTTTGCTGTCCTGTATGAAATCCATAGCAATTGCTATTCCTAGTTTTTCTAGGTATTATAGACAGTTGCTCTCAGCTTGCCACTGATCCAGAATGGGGTTTTGGCCAAAATTACCTTCCTTGATGTTAGAATTATGTGTTTTGTCCCATTTAAAAACAAACAAAAAATCTTCTTAAAGAATTTCCAATCCTTGTTCATATTTTCTGCTTGCAACTTTTCTCCCATCTGATTTTACACACTTTCCTCCGTAAAGGAAAATGAGACCTTGTGAAGCACCAATTATATGTACTATTGATTGGGACTAACCTTTGCTTGCACGTATTATATGTAATTTGGCAATGATCACTTAAAGAGCCTCTAGTATTCAGTCTGCTAATTAACAATTATCCATCATAATGAAGTCTAGAATAGAAGTATACCATGTTTGACTCAATATCTTTGTGCTAGAAGATAAAATTTATAACTTTCACAATCAGTTTGCTCAAAGCTTATTCTATAACTTCAAATTGGAAATAATAGATTTAATTTATTGCAGAATGGATCCTGATGAGTAGCTAAGTATATTTGGTTTGTGGTCCATAACAGAGTCCAACCCATATTTCTGGATGTGTTAGCCATGTCAGCTCATGGATCAGGAGGCTTTCAAAAATTTGAATTAATAGCAATTCTAAGATAGGTAACAGACAATTGTGCTAATATATATTATCTCCGTTTTATCTCCTTTTCTTTCTTCTTTCTGAGTAGATCATCACTGACTTTTTTGAATGACAACAATCGCATTACATTTCAGGAAGGAATGCTAATTTTAATTCTGTAGGGATTTCTGTTTTCTCTTTCTTTTAACACAGATCTCTGACTTTGGTGCATAACCAGCTCTAATGATTCTTTCTTCTATGTTCTTTGTAACTTTCAGCTTGGCATTAAAACTCAGTTTGAATTCATAGTGTATTTGATGTCCCCAAACCATCCCCTTACATTTTCAACCCGTGTTCTCTGTTATATTCTCTTTGGTGTTTCAGTAAGAAGGTGATGACACCAGCCTATAGTGAGCCTCTGGGAAAGCTGTTAGATTCAGCTTATACCACAAGGCAACAGGGATGTATGAATCAGACCAGTGATCCTAAAATGGGTTGTTATAGAGAAACATCCTTGCTCGGAATTCAGTTGGAGGATAGTATTTGTTTGGCCCGAAGACACCACTCTCTTTTACAATTGTTGTTTTCATAGCATTTCACTGTATTTGAAAAATTAATCTAGCATTTTCTAGGCTAGCTGCAGTTGACAACCTAATTGTGTTAACCATATGGACACAACTTTTAGAAACGTATCTCAGGCTGACTTGAGAAAATGCAACTGGATATCAGATACCTTCCCAGTTCTTCAGTGGGAGGTGTTGGTCCCAGAAGTGGAAAATGTTTGTGAGATGAGCAGTCCCTTTGAGTTTAATTACTGCTTTCTGCAGTGGCACTGGGGAATACTCAGTTTGGTTACTACCAATTTAACCTTGTAGTTGCTTAGGTGGCCCATTGGAAAATGGTCCGGTCTGTATTCAGCAGAGATTTTGGCTCTGTGAAAGGACAATTTTCTTGCAAACATTTCAGGGCATGCCTTTGAAATTATATTCTTTGATTGCTATTCTTAAACAAAAAAAAATACCACCAGTGGGATCAGTAAAGGTGTGAAACAAAAACAATCTTTTTTTTTTCATAAAAGGCAAAAGAAATATTTACATTTGGTTGCTACTGTTCTTCCTTGAGAAGGGTCCCAACCCATTGACTGAGTTGTAGGCTGTTTTCCTTTACCTTATCTTCTCTCCACTTGAAATCATTAGTTAAACTTTCTCCAGGAGCACGGGAACTATTATTTATGCAGGATAATCCTGTCACATTTTGTAATTTTTTTACAGAAAGTGGCATGTGCTTTTAGGAGAGCAGTTCAGTGAACAATGTTTTCAGTCTCAGGAATTCGATTTAGGGTGCTCCTTTTCATATTTATGGCCTGAGCTTAGCAGCTAAGTGCATGGACTATACACTTGGGAGGTTCATTTTAGCCTCCAATTAGGGAAACTGGTGCCTCAGCTGAGGCAGTCAGCTCTGCAGACCAAGACCATGTATTTGCCAACCAGGTTTGCAGACCAAGCCTTAAAATTAGTGCTCTGAAACTCATATTAGCTTTTGGTGAAACTTTATACTGAAAGCGAGACCTCAAGCCCATTAGAGAGATTAGAAAGACGAGATTTATAACTTGCCTTACTGCCTGAGAAATGTTTCAGGATGCAAAATAAAATAGGAATTTGCAGACGCAGGTTTTTCTGTAGATACTTAAATGAGACTAATCCCTCTTTTCATACAAAGCTGTTCACCTATGCATACTGTCATCTGACCAATACAGCTGTACATTTGGGGTATTGTATTTTCAGAAGACTGCAGAGTCAGTACCTTTGTTTGGTGTATAAAGTATGTGTAAAAGATGTAGGCAAAGAAAAAGAAAAGCAGGGAAGATGCCTTCATTTTTTTTCAATCTTTATATAATTATTTGTTTCTTTATGTACTTGCAAACAAATGTCTATAGTGATTTTTAAGCATCTTGTGAATGATGAGTGAGCTGTCACATCTTGTGCGAAATGACAAAAAATTTAGGGAGTCTTTTGACATGTGTGTTGTTTTCCTTAATTTGCATCTTTACATTGTTCAGTATGTTTATTATGTGCACTATTTTAACTAATTGTGTGTTCATGGCACAATCAGAGACTCCGTCATGGAATAAATATGTTGAGTAAGTATCCTTGCTATTCTACTGCTGCCCTGTCCTTCTCTCGTCCTTCCTCTTCCATTTGTTATGTTGTTCTTTCATCTTGTTTGCTGTTGTCTAATATCTTTCCAGTAATACTGACCATAGTATCTGTCCTGACAAAATATTTTGCCAGGCGTTTGTTGCCTGTGAAAACTCCCTTAGTAAGTCAACTAACAATTTTTAGTCTTCCAAGCTCATACTTATTACATAATGCACCTGCTATGCTACCTCTGAATGAGATCGCTTATGGGGAGAACTCCATTTGAAACTGCTCAGCCTTCCACAGTTCCCATGCAAGAGATTCAATGGTTGGACACATTAGAATAGGCTGATGGAGTTTAATTTGGATTTTCAGAAAAAAAAAAATCCTGGACATGTTTATTTCTGTCCTTAAACTGAAACTTATTGGAAGCAAAAGTTTCTTTTGGACTGAAAGCATCATGAGAAGTCTTCCCCTGTACTTGTTGGTAGGCATACTTTATGAGCAAGCATAAAATTGTCTGGGAACATTTTTATGAGGATTCCTGTCTTTTTAGCTTGTCAAACCTTCAGGAAAGCTAGAACAGATATGACTTGAAGTTTTGCTTGTTTGTTTGTTTGTTTTAAAAAAATTAAAAGAGACTGATGGGCTTCAGAAAGCCCATTTCATTTCTTTAAGTCTCTTTAAAATTTTCCTGTTAGACACAGATACCAGATGCACAAGCTAATCAACCTACAGTGCATTAAACAATTATTTTGGCTCATTGACCCAATCAGAACACACTTTTTATTTTTGACTGACATATGATAAACACAGCCATCTGCTGCTCCGTAGTCTGGTGTTTGGTCTGCTCAGGGCTGTAAGGAAAGACAGTAAAATGCCCTTATTTTAGGTTTCATAAAATCACGCAGGGCACATCTTCTAGGCCATAAATTACTAATTATAGATAGCACTGAACCAAATATTTCATCCGATCACAATAACATCCTAATCCCAGGATGTTTCATGTATTTCTGTATAGTGTACTACCCTCACCTATGTCTGTGACTTTCCTTTTTCCCTGATGTTGTCCTTTTCGTATTGAAAACTGTCACACTGTACCATAGCCACGATGTATCCAGCTGAAACACGGACATCTCATCCATGTGAGTCAAAATTTGCTCAGTGGGTTTACAGCTGGGAATTTGAATATTCTGGAGGAAAATATGAAAGGGCTTGTCATGTCTTCTGTAGGCAGGAAAATGTGGATGATGTTATCCATGCATCAAGCAGGGCATGCAAGAAACATAGAGCAGAAATGCAAACGGACCCATGCAGCATGGAGTAAATCCTTTCCCTTCCATGTTTCCTCTTCTCCTGCGTCCCCTCATACCTCTCAGCTTTTCCTCCTCAAATGCATAGGATGAAATCAAAGGCAAGTATTTTTGAGGAGCAAAATAACCTGATGAACTTTAATTCAAATTGATTAATATTGGATTTGGAAAAGATACATTTAATCCATTTTGTTCTGCTGTTTCAGAGACTCACAGGGGGTACAAGAGTAACCTTGTGCAAATATTTGTCCTAGGTGTTCCTTTAAAACATTTCACTTACCATTTTGAAAAAAAGAAATCAATTCAACTTACCCCCACTAAATTTTTTTTAAAAATCCTGACTTCTGTCGTTAAGGAAGCTGTTCAGTTGCTGGAGGACTTTGCCTGATCCATTTGGAATTAGATGATGATTATACAATCAATTAAACCATCTGACATGCTGAATAAATACAAGTGCTTTATCATTTTAATGAGCTTATGTACCGTTAAGTATTTTTTTTTAGTTCTTTGCATGCGTTTTCTGCATGTATTACTGAGTACACATGCTTAAAGAGACTGTCATGTGGATGACCTATATTTGAAATACCAGAGCAAAACTGAATAGGAGCCATGAAAAGTCAGATACAAGATAATGCTTAGACGTATGGTCAAAGAGGAGATTTGAGAAATAATTTGCACCCACTGTTGGACAGAAACAGTCCTGCTAATCTCCCTTTTAAGATGAAGCACGGTGAGCTTTTGTAACCTGTGTAACTAGCGCTATTGCGAGACGTGATGACAGGAGGGTGTGAGATTTGCCACTACCTGTGTGTGCGCGCCCAGTTGCAGATCAGCAGAATACAGCCAAGAGAAAATGTTTCCCTTTTATGCATAATGAAGTTCTTCCTTATATTACCACCTTTTATTGCTTACATCTTTTTTTTTTTTTTTACCAAAACAGGAATTCCAACTGCTAGAATTTTTTGTGTGTGATGACACCATTATAGCTACTGATGTTTAGGGACTAAACAGAAAACTCAAGCTAGTGTTTCTAATGGAAGCTCCTAACATCATGACTTTTGTGTTTTATGGGATTTTAGGTGTTTGTTTGGGGTTTTTTAATAGGCTTTGGTATCATCTGCATCTTCATTTGGAGAAAAGGGGTAGGGAATGCCAGTGGTGGATACTAAACTTTTTTTTTTTTTTTTTTTTTTAAGATATGGCTTAGAATACCTAGTCCCATTAGGCCAGATGTCTCAGGTAGAAACCTTAAAAAAGAGGTGTTATATGCCCTGAAGTATGTCTCTGATGGTAGGTAGAGCTCTGGGTGAATACAGATCTGAATGTTATAAGTCAGACTACATTTCTGTCCTCCACAGAGAATTTGCTAAATTTTATTACAAGCATCATCTTTATTACAAAAGGTAAGATGTATGTTCTGTCCAAGCTCATCACAGTCAAGAGGCTGTTGGTAATAAAGAACTTATTTTACTAAGGGAAAAAACCACCCTCGTGTCTCTTTTACTGTCAAGCAGGTCAAAATTACTACATACAGTATTCGGGTGGGAGTTGTTTTCCTCTTCTTGAGCGAGGGCATTCTGTTGTTTAATTCTGAGGGCTGGTGTGATTTACCATGGGTAGTGAAGCACAAGGGAGGTTGCAGGAAAAACACCCTTTTTTGCTAATAAAACCTAGCGGTGACCTTTTTTATCCTGCTGTCCTTCAAAATGGCCTGGGCAGGAAGAGATGAGAGGTATGAATGGAATGACCACCCTCCTTCAAATAAGAGAAACAACAAGGAATGTGGCAAGATCCATTCCTCTTTCACTGGCGATGGCAGGCAGAGCTTCAGAAGTCCCGTAGCATAGCTTAGTAGCATAACATTCATACTTGACTTAATGAGTGAGGATTCATCAAGGTACACCCTGTGGTGAAAACGATCTTCATCCTGTGGCTGTCATGAGCGCTTTCCCATTTCTTACATGCTCCTTGGTCCACACATGAAGCTGCTCATACACAGCCCAGTGCTGCACCCATGACTCACATGAGCAACCCCAACGAGATGGGCCGGAGTGTCTCATGTGAGTAGGGTTGGGTTGAGTGTGCCTCTGCCATTTCTGCCATCTACTGCTTGCTAATGCTCTTGCTTATCTTGGCCACTTTATTCCCCAGGTACACTTTCACTGGCATTTACACTTTTGAGTCATTGATAAAAATATTGGCGAGAGGATTTTGCATGACAGAATTCACTTTCCTTCGGGATCCCTGGAACTGGCTGGATTTCAGTGTTATTGTTATGGCGTAAGTAGCACTCCTTTATATATTTCAAGGCAGAAATATGCAGTAGAAGTTTTTTAAAAATTGTCTGGTTGTTCTCTTTTTTTCATTCAAATTGTACTGAAAATGAGAAAATGCTGAAGTATATCAGGATGGAGTTTGTTTTCCTGAGTAGTTTCAGAGGAAGAAGTTGGAGGTTTTCTCAATTCTGTTGTCTCAGTTCAGTAGACTATTTTGGAGAAATTATTTACTCTCTCTGTGCTCCGCCGGGAGAGCTGTTTGTAAAATATCTGTAATAATACTTGCCTATCTAACGTAGTTTTGGGAAGCTTCAGTCCCCTGAATAGAAAGTCTTATGAATGTGACTGAATACCCATGTATTTAAATCCCTATTTATAATCTACCCATCCATAACACCGCCAAAGCTGTTTTCAAGTTCTTCACTTCACAAACCCTCTTCATCCTGAAAGTAATTACTGTTTTTCTACTGTAGGGAATCCCTTTAAAAGCCTCTGAAACTTGTCATATATCTTGGGAATAAAAATTTGGCCCCCAATGTGATATTCCCTTTCAGCCGTATTACCTAGATTTTTAGAGTTCACTCAGGACATGAGGGGTTCTGGTGCTTTGAAGGAGCTGATGGATTTATGGCATCCAGACAGCTAAAAATACACAGGGGTAAGGGAGCAGTCAGCCAACGCTCACAGTGGACACGGTGTCAGCCCAAGCTCCGGTCAAAGGCAGATGTCTGACACCGTCGATAACTCCAGCTGAGCTAGAAATCCAGATTTTCTTCGTAGTCAAAGAAGAAAAAAAAGCATTTGAAGAGAGCATGTCATCTTGAAGTGGAAGCTAGTAGAGATGTCCTGAAAGGCCCCATTTCCTAATCGTAGAAGGATTTCATCCCTGTGTTTTCTGCTTAATGATATCTATATTATGTTCTGGTTTTAGTTTAGTTCTCGCTGACTTCTTTAAACCTCATAAATCATAGCCTTAGGTGAGATGCAAGCCTGCTAGCACTGACATTTGAGCAGGGCCCATTATGTTGGAATGGAACCAAAATTGGTAAAAAATGTTCAACGAAACTTAGTTCAAACACCAGTGGGGGGTGGTAGCAAAACTCTGGTAGGCTGCAGGCATCAGGACCAATATTCTCAGCATTTAGCAGAGGAACAGCATGAAAATGTGTAAAGTTAAGTGGACTTCACTGGAAGACTCCCACTTATTTTAGCAGGCTTTGGATCAGAGCCAGCCCTAGGCCAGATCCTGGTATCTGTTACTACATTCCTATGGATTTGGCTGAACTGACATCTGGCCATCGTGATAAGCTTTTAAAAAAAATGCAGTGCAGATGGGGAGGAGCTTTTGGAGGTCAACGCACATTCGGTATTTTTCTCAGCTCAACTTTTCCTCAGGCAGTACTAAGTGCAATTCTCCTGCAACGTTTAGAGGCAGGACGGAACAACACAACGTGTCACCAGCCTGCTCTCCTGTCCATCAGACACCTGGTAAAAGCAGGGTACGATAGTTCATCTGCTTGTGAGTTGGGATGCGAGTTCATTTGCAGATCTCTGAGTTCAGCACAACATGGAGATCTCCTGTGCATGGGTTCCCTCTATTCTACTAGGAAGGAGAGTTTTGCCAGTGAGGCAGAAAGGAGCAAAGGACAAGATAAACCACAGCTTGCAGCCTTGGCACTGCATCTGCTCCACCTCATGTTCTCAGCTTGGGCAGAGGTTGGAGCATCAGCCCCAGCTCTGCAGAACTCCTCTGGGAGCATCTCATTTACTGTCACTGAAATTCAAGTCTGAACATTCAGTGTGGGACAAGGTCTGGATATCCCTTAAATTCTGCCCACATTATCTCTGGGTGTTTGGTGCTTAGGGAGCTGGAAAAATGTGAAGGCTTGCACAGGCCTTAAGGTGGGCAGTTTCCCAGAGGTGATTCACTCCCTGCAGGTAGGAACCAGGGTTTGGTTCCCAGAGGTTGTGGGCTTACACCTCTTTTTGCTTTTCTGAGTCTTCTAGACTTGAATGGCCACTCAGTGCTCCAGATCAAGGATTCGTGAAAACTTCCTTAAGCCTTATTTAATGAGAGGCTTGGGTGTCTCGCCTTCTTTCCTAGCTGCATTTCTAAATTATATTTCCTCTCTTAGTTAGTAGATCCCTAAACCAGGGGGGTCTGCAACTGCAAAAAAAATATTTCTCAACATCAAGTTACAGCAATGGCCACACTCTTCAGAACTGGCATCCATTCCTAATGCTTCTTACTTCAAGGCATATTGTATTAACATTTTTAGAATAGAAAAAAATAATTGGAATTCTGAAATAGACAATAAATGGAAAAGTGTTCTTTGAGTCATAGGCAGCAACGAGAGAGTTAAAAGTGACTGCGATATTCTCTTCATATGTACAATGAAACTTCCTTCCCAAGCATGCAAGCAGCAGATAGTGCAGAGCGTTGGATAATGGACTCTATTCTGATATGATTTATCCTTCATAGAAATCCAATTTGCAAGTAATTTAAAATAAAACTGATTATACAGGTAACACTGGCGTTGTCTTTGCTTGTAGCTAGTGTGATGCTAAGGTATTTCTGTTTTTGGAAGCAAAGATGGCATGAGGGTTCAAAATGGGAAAGCCTGGTGAGGAGCCATGAGATCTAGATGGACCAAGGCTTCTGAGCTAACTGAAAATCTGATTCTTTCAGTGGTGGGTGTTATAGTGGAATGACCATCACTTGCTTTACAGTTATTGCAAAATAACTTCTTACCTCTTCTTTTGGACAGAAACAGCATGGATTGGGTCACAAAGAGTAGTTTAAATAGCACATTAGAGAGCAAGAGGTGCCACAGGTCTCCAGGGCTTTTCTCCTGCCCTGTGCAAACAGACACAGCCATGGCTGTTGACCTTCTGTGGGGCCATGGATGGGTTCAAGGGAAATTATGAAGCTACCCTTGTTTAGACTGCTTTCCAGATAAGCAAGTGCTTTCCAGAACAGGAGAGGGAGAGGCAGCTGTAACTCTGGGTTGGAAAGTGCCCTGCCAAAAGCTTAAAGAGAATAAGCAATTCCCTGGCTAACAGGGAAATTTGGGATGGGAATTCCAGTTGCTTCTCACCCCCTGATAAAGAGGAACTGGTCTGCTGTGATTTCATCCAAGAAATGGCCAAAATAAATCTTAATTAACTATTGTGAACAAACAGCAGTGGTGTTTGCTTCATATGCTTGTTCACACATTAATAAAGTGTTTTTACAAATCTCTTGTCAGCAAAACCCTATTCCCATGCTATTGCTTCTCCCCAAATTATTTTTTTCTACCCTTGCATGCTGCAGAAGAGTTTGGGGGAGAAGCACTGGGTAAACATGGGTAGGAATTACCAAACAGGTAAATCTTTGCCCAGGCTCCCCTATAAGATTATGAAGAGGAGAAGCAATATTGCTCTTCCAGGTTATAATCTGGATTAGTAGATACTGAGAGGATGCTTTGTCCTCCCCAGAGGCCTTTGCACAAAGCTCACTTAAGCTGGCTTTGTAAAATAACCAGGTGAGTTTTTTCCTTAACATGTAAAAACAAATGCCTCAAAGAAGTAGAATATGTCAATGAAATGTAATAGAAGTTTAACAGTGAATAATATTAAAGAGTCCAAGAGCTGTTTGGTTCAGAAGATACAGTGGTGACTATGCTTTTACTATACACTAACTTTGAGGAAATAATTTTATACAACATGGATAAACCAAAACTGATTCCATAACTGACCCTCCTGGGAGCATTTTGCTCAGGTGTGGGATGGGTCCCCGTGATGACCAAAACAGGCACAGCAGTGAAGAGCTGGGATTGGTATTTTAATCATAAATAGTTTTTAGTAGGATTGCAATTATAGTCATTCAAAATCCATCTTCCTGCAGCCAAAGGGCATGGATTTGATGTACAAAACAAAATAAAATTTTAAGCATCTCTTGAAACCAACATCTGCTTTACCACAGAGTACAGCATCTTGGAATAAATAACCCAGGAGAACCATTTGCACTGATATTTTCCCATGTTGTCCTCTATGTAGTTTGCAGAAGCTATTATGTGAAAATTACTTGGGCATTTGAAGCTTTTATTTTTTTTAAGAGCAGCAAATAACTCTTAATGTTTCCTGTAATGTAAAGAATTTTTTGTTAAACTACATGATGGTAAAATCTTTAAAGTATTTATTGCTGAACAGCAGGATAACAAAGTTCACCCGGTAAAGAACTGATGCCTATTAGATAAGTTTAATAGTTCGAGAAACTATTTGAAATAATGTGTGCTATGAAAAACCCGGGACAAACGGCATCAAAGAACAGCCTGAAAAGTGGGTGCACCTCTCATTTGGCTGCATTCACTCCCGCTATGTAGGAATGTATTCTTCATTCAGACAAGTCTCATACTCTATTGTATAATTCCAAATAACTGTGACTTAATTCTACAGGTATGTAGGAGAATTTGTGAATGTAGGCAGTGTTTCACCTCTTCGGACTTTCAGGGTATTGAGAGCTTTAAAAACTATTTCAGTAATCCCAGGTAAGAAGCCCTGATCCTTACGTTTCGGCTCTCAGCTACAAGTGATTCTTTCTCTGTCTCTCTTTGTCCCTTTGACTGTTGTTTTTTTTTTTGCTGGTGTTTTGTCATTGTCTGTGTGTGACTTTCCCTTGTTACAGATACATAACTGAATTTGTGGACCTGGGCAATGTCTCAGCCTTACGAACGTTCAGAGTACTGCGGGCGCTGAAAACAATCTCAGTCATTTCAGGTGAAAATCAGGTTAAACACTCCGGCTGCAGTTAAAGCCTACATGCCATTTCCAGTAGTAAAGACAGTAATTACAAATGACTTAACCATAGATACTGATCAGGAAATGGAGGAATGTAGGGAATGTGACCTGTCAATAGAATACATTTTTCATATGTTTTCCAATACTGGTTTTGTTTGCAGAAAGAATTAGAGTGCTTCCAAAATTACAGACCTCACTAAAACGAGCGCTGCTGTAGGAACAGCGGTATGCAGTGGCTCGTGAATCACATACATAAAGTACTCATTCATGAACCATAGGAAAATGGCAATGAAATTCTTTTAAAGTCTTCGGATATTGATTTTTAAAAATGGAAGGTTAATGACCTCAAAATGGTATTTGTGTTTAAGAGCGCATCGATAGAGGAATCTAAATCTGTGCTATGAGCTGAGGTTTCAAGACTGCAGGCATAGATAGCCTAATTTGTCATGGTGTTTATCCATTTGTATGTGATAGAAATGCTGTTTACATTTAGGACCCTGAAGAGATCAGAAGTTTTGTCATTGATTTTGGTAGATTCAGCATTTCACCAACACACATTTTCTCACATATTAAAGGATATGACACCCCCCCCACCCCATGCAAAAAAAAAATAAAAATCAGTATTTTACTACAGATCTGGTAGTGAAAGAAGCTCTTTTTTCATTGCTTTTAATCCAATCCATTACTATTTCTTAAAATAATAAATAATATTTACTATTAAGTATTTTATGCAGAGGTGAGTCCACTCTGTGGACTAACCGTATGATGATAATTTTATTGCCAAGCATATCTATGGACAGGTCTCATTCAGCCTCAGTGTTTAACATCTCCAACCTGCATGACAAGGTAGAGAAGATAGCAAAACCCATGCATGGTAGATCCTATCGGTGATAATCCTGAACAGATGTTGGCAATTACATGTCAAAAATATTCAAAACGTCGAGAGAACTGCTCAGATTCTCACACACAGCTCTTTAAGGTTAGAAAGGCTTTTCCATCCGTCATATTGTGCACTTCTACACTATAATATAAATCTAAAAACTTCTGTGGTGTAAACTTGTAGGGACAGTACTCACACAGACTATAGGCTAGGAATGGGAATTGAGGTGTTAAGAAAACATATACATGGGGCTAAGGCTTACTCACTCATTCCAACATTAAAGTAATGAAAATCAGTGGAATTCTTGAGAGAGCAAGGTACTTTTCATTGGAAGTGTATATCAAAATATAGCTCTTAAAGAATGCTTTAAGATGATTAGGTCTGGTATTCCCTGAAATCAGTTCCTGTCTTCATTTTTGTCTTTAAGTTTAAAAAGAATAATCAGTTAGCGGAGAGGTTTTGCTATGGTTTTGCTAACTGGATTTACACTCAGAAAGGATTTTTTTTTTCTTGGGAAATGGAAAGTTGAGCACCGTTTTGCAGATCATGTGGGATAGTAGTGGCTAATCAGAAAGAAAACTGGAATGTCCTAGCTTCCTCTGCTAGCGGTTTGAAGATTAACTTGGAGGGACAGCCATCTCCAGGGGACACCTTTCGCTTTCCATCTCATCTCAAGCTTGCTCTCTCTGCTTCAGAGCAGAGCCTGTCAATTTTGCTGAGTTATATATATATATATATATAGCATTTTTCTGCTGTTCTTTATCAGAGTTGGAGCAGAAGCTTGTTTTACATCAAATGATAATTTTTGGCTGTTTTTTTAGTGGGAGGAAATGGAATATTGAGATGCAGAAAAACTTTATTTAAAAATACACCAAAGCCCTTCAGTAATATTAAAACCAGAGTTGTTCCATTTGTTGGTTAATAGAAAAAAAAAAAAGAAGATGAGGATTAATATTTATTAGAGTAATACATAATAACTCACATTCTCTTTTTTTCTTTTGGACTTTTTCATTAGTTTTTTGGTAACTGCATTTTTAGGTACAAGTAACTAAATCATTTGCTGACAGAACTGCATGAAGATATGCTAATGGAATATCTGGCCTTAGATTTTATTGTCAAGATTACCTGTGCCCTGAGTATGTTTAAATTACAAATGCGGAGAGCTACAAATTGCCAAGGAACACCTATCTGCCTATAAAACACAGCTAAGTTTTGGGGTTTTTTTAATGTTAGCAGATAATTTCAGAGAAGTCAGTTCATTTTTCAGTTAGACACGTATATTTTAAAAGAAATATTGGGCATGATGCTGTGTTGATTTGGAGATCAGTCTGAGTTTTTAATGATAACATAGGCTTATGGTGAGATGAAATATTTTTCCACAATAGGCTTAAAAATGAAAAGATGATGAACACTGATATCTCCCATGAGATTTTGGGGTTTAACTGCTAGAAAAAGGAGAAGGTTGTTATTTTTCCTTCCTTTTCTACATCTCAGGTGAAGAACACTGAGATGTATTCTCCTTTGCAAATATCTAAGCTTTTCCTCAATAAAATTGATCACACTTTTCCATCAGGTAGTTATGTTTGCACAAACATACTTGGACTCAGCATGCTCGGTGAAATTGTTTACTGAAAGTAACGGGCCAAGTCCTCCGTGGTGTAAGGCTTCTGTCCAGCAAAGCACTTAGAGGCTGGTTTTCAAAGGCATTCTGCTTCACTTGAAATCAATGAGTTTCACTATTGACTCCAGAGGGAGTTAGTAAAGCTAACAATTAGTGCTTTTAAAAATCTCACCTACCTTTAATGCCTCGCTTTAAGTGGGCAAGCAGGCACAGGGACGTTTAGGGGACATGGGCTCACAGGACTCAAAAAGAGCTCCCAAACTCTCAGAGTCCATTCCCCTGGCCTAAGGCTGCATTTAACATAGCTCAGACCTGGCCTGATATTTATTGCCTGACTTTTTCTAACAGTCCTTCAAAGGTGGAGGTCTCATGATCCTTCTGAGAAGTCTGTTCCAGCACCCCATTACTTTCGCCATTAGAAGATTTGCCCTGGGAGGATATGTTCAGATCCAGATTCAGCAACAGAAATATTAGCATCTACCAGCAAGATGTGTGCTTCCCAATCACGGAGGATCCGGGGCTCAGTTTGGTTGCCATCATGCCAGGATCTCCAGCTCCTCAGGGCAATGGATAACCTGGAGTTCCTGTCTCTGAATCCAGACCCCCATCCAACCTCACCCTCTCTTGGTGCATTATCAGTTCACTATTTTTTACCCTGCAGCCACTGTGTAGGACATCGGGTCAGTGCCTTACCCACTGTGGCAGCCCTTAACGTGCTGGAGGACCTTCAGGGATCCCCTCCATTTTCCTTTTTCTGCACCAAACACACCCATTTCTTTCTCTTTTCCAGTTGTCCATGGTATCAAAAGAAAACAAGCTTTGTACAGTAGCTGGGTGTCTGTTTACGCAGACTTATTAAAAGAAAAAAGTTTTTAATTTCTTCATGTATCCCTTATATTCAGGTGCTTAGAAATAGGTAACATTTTCTCTATGGGAGCATAAAACCTTTAACTCTCAGTGATTTTATTTATTAATTAGTGTCTTGCACATTGTCATGGCAACGGGATTTATTCATTTTCAGTCTAGCTAGGAACCGTGGTCAGCAGCAAAACAGCCCACTGAAGTCACTAATTTGTCTCCCATTACCAGAGTATCCAAGTCCCAGTGTTCTCAGCAGGAACCCTTCCCATGACAATAAATGGTCTCAAATCATAGTTTATCTGCATAGAAATCACCAATGTTCTTGATATATACTAATTAAGGTAATATAAAGCCCTGAGTTACACCCTTCTATGCCTCCTCATCAGAAGCCTACAAATCGCAGTCCATCATCATCATCACTGGAATTTTGTAAAGTTCCTGTATTCAGAGAAGCTCCACTGCTCTTTCTGGAACAGGAGTGTACATCACGGACATCTCACATAAAATGACAGGATACCGGCAAAAGGTGACCTCATAGAAAATTGGGCCAAGGCACTTTGGGGCCTGATCCAGCTCCCATTTAAGTTAGTGTGAGTCTAAAGGCTATAAATAGGCTGTGAATGTTATCCAGTACTTTACTGATAGCCAGAACAGAGCTTGGAGAACAAGAATTAAGGCTGTGTGGAGAAGACTGACCCCTGTTCACTGCTTCAATCTCACCGAAGTCCTCCTACGGAGAGATAAATGTCATCCTTCTGGTGGGTCAATCACTTAACTCAAGAACGGAGGTGAGAAATAAATGACATACTTAGGTTTTCCTTGGACATGGGCCTGATAGTCACATTTCCATGCAAAGATGGTCTACAGAAATGCTGACAACCATTCAAATTTGCCAACATGCTATTAAACTCTTTTCTTCCCCGTGTGTCAGTGGCTAACAGCAAAATACGTGACCTCTTCTCTCCCTACATGCACATGACTCATGCAGACATTGACAAGACACATGCGTATCCTGGGGAGAAGGAGTAGGCCAGTTGAGGACAATCATAGTACAAATCACACTCTCTTCTTTTTTTTTTTTTTTTTGTTTCTGCTTTTTCTTCCCACTTCTTTCCAGACTGTGTATGAAAGCATCTGATGTTCTGTAGGTGATTGCCAACATCTGGTATGGATGTCATACTGAATTATGCTAATACTTTCTCACATCTCATAGGAGGAATGGATGGTGTTGTGGGATCTTGCCATTTCTCATTGTTTGGTGTTGCTTGCATTTTCTATGGTTTCTGATTTGCATTTGAAAACTGATTATTTGATTAACTTCTGAATGTGTTAATTTCTACCTGCATTAACAGGAATGTTTGGGCCAAACCCTCCTTGCTTTCTGCAGATGTCAGGCTGCCTATGCAGCCCTCATTTCACTGATTTTGGATCTCGTGCTATTGTTCATGTCATGCAAGCAGGATTTGGCCCAGAAGCGCGGAAAGAATTCAGTGATTCAGGAGAAGCCTGTATTGATTACTCTAGGGAGTTGTCTACAGACCCACTGTCATTAAGGGCTGTAGTTTTTACTCAGCTTCAGATCAGATCCTCAGTTCTTGCTGCATGCTGCCTGGTTTGATGTTTGACTTGCAAGAATTAAGTAAATGCCTTTAATGCCCCATAAATAGTATCTTCTATTAAGCTATATTGCAGTGCTCTCATTGGCGCTATTTCAAAGGAGGATTATTTATCTAGAAGATTTGACAGTGCTCTAAATTTGAATACATCTAGCATTGCTTTTACAAAACATGGGATTGATTCAGAGAAATACAGAACACCTGCAAGAGGTTCTGGGTGTCCTGATTTCCCCTCAGCCCTTCCATTTACGAGGGATAGAAAGTGTAAATGAATGGTGATTTAAACACTTTGCTTAGCAGTGAGTTGTGCCAAGCAACTTGATGGACGCTACTTAATTTTCTGGACAAATTTTGTTTTTAAAGGGTGAGGAAAAATAAAACCCAGCTAGATTTTAAGTATACCACTCCCCAAATGGTTTTCCTGGAAAGTTTTAACAAATGTCCAGGAGGCAGAGTACAAGTTATTTTTAAATGGTCTTTAATCACAACAATTGTACTACTAAAGCATTCTCTTCTTAAACTGTTCAGAAGCCTGTATGCTATTAAAACAAAACAAGAAGGTAAAGGAGAAAACCCTCTCATAAAGAAATTATTTGATACCTGCGAGGAATGAACTTGTAAAACTAATAGTATAGGGTTACTATTCTATTTAAAACCCCAGTAAGTAAACTGAGAAAACCATGTTTCATGAAATGACCTTGAAATTAAGAATACTGGGGGCTGACTTTGAAAACAGATAATCTTTATTGGTGATTAGGATTTTGTAGGTCTTGTTTCCTAATATTATCCCCATTCACATTAGGACTCCCATTGTCCTTGCCCATGTGAGTAAGATTAATTAGTGTACTCAGATGGTACAAATGCAGCCTCAGAGTTTGCATTTGTGTTACAAACAAATAAATGTACTGCAGGGATTCCACAGAGGGTACTGAATTAAAAGAATATGTGGTTTGGCTTTTTTCCCTTTTTTAAGACTTGGTTTGCATTTCACCAGCTTCAGTGAAGAAACATCTGTGCAATCAAAGAACAACCAATGATGAGAATCATCAGAAACATTTCAGAATATTAGATAAAATAAACAAATATTCTAGTGCATTTACAAATCATGTTCCCCACCACCACCACCTCACTACTTGTTTAAGACCTGGCTGTATTAAAAGTCTTATATTCTTAACACTGGATAAGTGTGAGACCCCAGGAAGTCCTTCCGAATTGGGCTACAACTAAAACTGGTTTCACTTCAGGTATAAAGTTCACCCAAGATTAGATTATCAGAAGAGCTATGCTTTTTATTTAGGCATCAAAATAGGTAGCCAAATCTACGGATGGACTCCAAAGACCCAAGTTGGCCTTTTTCTAGGCACCTGAATAGAACTGACCTCTTTTGTAAAATCTCTTTCTTGGTGAGGAATGCAGATAGCATGGAAATCCAGCTTTTGCCTAATGTTTATACTGCCATATTTTTGCCTTTATTTCTGAGTCGAGCAGGGAGATGTCTAACCTCTTGCTCTTTACCATGCCACAAACTAAAGAGGCAAACAAAGAATTTAGTGGAGAGAGGGGACTACCCACACCTAATGGGTCAGTCCCTTTTGGTTAAATGGCCATTTTATAGATGTTAATATCATTCACAGGTTAACCTAATGGCAATACCCTATGCAGGAGTGGAATATTTTAGGCTGCTGGATCCAGGGACTGCTGGACCTGTCGGCCATTCTAGCGGCTCATCCTCCTTTGAGAAACTATGATTTTCCCTTACTATACCACAGAATACTTACCACTTACTATACCACAGAATTTTAAGCAAGACCAAAAACCCATTTTGCCTTCCTATAAGTCCTCAAGTACATTTTCGTATTATTTTAAATTATGCAGCACTAGCTCAACCTTTGTGGCTGCCAAACTCTTGGGGTGGAATTCCAGGGAACTGAGATTTAATATGTATGTTCATATTCAGTGAGCAAATCAATGCGCTTTTGAGTATTGCCCAGGAGAATTCCTCCAATTTCCTCTTTGCACTTTCTTTTTCCCATTTAACTCAATTTCTCTTACTGCTGCCATACTGGTGACACTGATTATCAGAAACACTGATTACTACTTATCGAGTATTAATTAACTATAAATAGGAAAGAAACAACAAAATTGCTACCATTGTGCAGCTGATATTGATGTCCAACTACGGCACACAAGTTTAGGAGGGCCTTTCCTTGAAAAGAGTGGGTTTTGTTGTATTCATGTAATATTCAGTCAGCTCAAACAGTGCTGATCTGCAGTAACACTTCAAAAACAAGCAATATCTTTTAAGAAAACAGTATAATTATTTATGTCTGTATATTTATAGAATAATAAACTGAAGCTAGTGTTATGGGGTGAAATAACACAGGAGAAGCTAATTTGTGTGACCCAAGCCTTTGGTGTTTGTAATAAGATTATTTATCTACATTGGCAGCATATTATAAAATGATTAACTATGCCCAGGTATTGTTGGAGCCTCAGGTTGCTTTACTCAAATAGTTTCCACTGGGTTTATTTGATTGCCCATATTATTTGGCTTCTAATCCTAAATTCTCGTTGTCTTAAGCAAATGAATTGAAGGCAGAGGAATTATTCATATGAGGATAGTGAGCTGGATTTGGCACTAAAATATGTAAAATAATCAGTGAATAAATAACATTTCCATACCTCTTCATCTGTTTATGTGAGGGATAAAGTTATCAGAATCACCTGAGTGATGTAAAACTAATTCACATTCTCAAAATTCAATGGGATTTAGGCTTTACAGCCATTACTGCAGCTCCATGAAAACATAAAAGACATTCCGTATTTTCCTTATCCATGAATATTTTTGTACCTCACTGTTCCTCCATCCAGTTCTTTCCCTCCATTTTTAAAGCAGTGTTTGTGTAAGAGTAATACCAAGACTTTTGTTCAGACAAAAGTCAGCCAAACTAAACTTTCATCGTGATCACTTGTCTCTCGTTTCTGCTGTCCAGTTACAAACATGTAGTAGAAACCCTTCTGATTTTCCCTTCCATGGAGATTTTCATCATGAAAAATAGCTATTTGCAGACATGTTTCAGCCTCTCAGCCTATAAACTCTTGGCTTTTATCTCCCTAGGACTGAAGACCATTGTAGGGGCACTTATCCAGTCTGTTAAGAAACTTGCTGATGTGATGATCCTGACCGTTTTCTGCTTGAGTGTCTTTGCCCTCATAGGCCTACAGCTCTTCATGGGCAACTTGCGACACAAGTGTGTCAGGGACTACACCAAGTTTAACTCCACCAATGGCACGTTGTACTTGGATGGTAGGATGTGGAACACCTCAGAGGAATTTCTTAGTGATCCAGGTAAGCTCTTCTTTACCCTGTTGTCTGGGTTTTGGTTGGTTTGGGGCTTTTTTATTATTATTATATTGACCAAATTTGTATGTGAATCAGGAAATGCAGCATTACATGACTACTGGCTCTTCGTGATCTTGATGTGGTTTTGAAGGATGTAGCTAGCTTTTTCTGATCTCTGTGGTGCCTTCACAGTTCATGCTGAAAGCATTTGTGATGCTTTCCTATGATACAGACTGTGGACCTTGTTACATCGTCGATGATTTTTACAGTTTTAAGGTGTCTCATGGTATTTTCCTTCAAGATTTCTTTCCTGCAATTAGGCAATTGCATGAAAATTTCAATTCTGTGTGTGGGTCTGGTTTGCACAGTGTTTCTTTAAGATGATTTATAGCTCTTGCATTTTCCAGCAAAACTTCAAAATTTAAATTAAGGGTCTTAAAAACCAAAAAGTGAGGCAGAGCAATTCAGTATTTAATAATCTGAAAAATCCCAAGAGCTTTTTTTTTAGGAAATCTTAGGCTATTAGGGCCCTAACTTATTATCTGGGTTGGGCCATCCTGCAGTGTCTGGTGCTCTGATGTTTATTATCAAAAGGCTTGTTTTCTAGGCCAAAGCAATTTTTAATACTCTACAGTCTGCTATACTTTGAATTACAATGAAATAGGTTCACTGAACTCATTTATTAACAGTTTCAAAAAAAATAAGTATTTCGTGTAAATAAACTTCAGAAGGTAAACAAGTGGCCCAGCTGTTTTGCTGCTCCAAAACCCTCTGAGTCACCACGGGACCCACACCAATTGCAATGGACATGGGCTCACGTCTAAAACTGTTCAATGATGCTCTTGGGGAAAGGAAGCAGTCAGGCTGATGTGCATTGGTAGGCTTATGACCAGTGACCTTTTGTATTTTATTTATTTTGAGAAGAATAAACCACATAGTCAGCTCATTGACTGGAAACTTGGTTGGGAGGAAGTGACACAGTGTTACAGGGTGCCTCAGCTCTGACTGCATGGACCCTTCAGCCCTATGTCTCCAGCCATCTGCACTACAAAAACCCCACGCCTGACTCCTGGAAGTTGCCTGGCTTGATGAAGGACTCTGTTGTATGCCTGGCACAAGGTTGCCTCCAACCCCTACTGGCTTCTCAGTGTTGTACACCTCTTCAGCCAGGCTACATTGGGCAGGAATTGGGCCAAGGGCAGTCTCACCATTCCCCACTGGTGACTTCTGGCCTTTCTGATCGATTCCTCTCCCTGCAGTCTGAGCATCCCTGGAAGCAATGGTGTTAGTTCCATTCAACGAATAAAGAACCCAAATTTGGTGTCTTTAATGCATGATGTGGTTGATGCAGCATCAAGGAAGGGCAGTTCATGAAGCTCTGGCTGGACAAGGGCCATCTTTGGGACTAACCCTGACCATCAGGTTATGTGTCCTCTTAGTGTTGCCCTCTTGTCAGCTGAAACGGGAAAGCTCTGTGCTAGAGCTAAAAAACCCCATTGGACCTATGCTGACCGGTGATAAGCCCGCTGACATGTTTTCCCACCCATGCTCTCTGCGCTTCCAGCTTGGAAAAGAGTGCTCGTGGAGCTAGTAAAGATATTTCTGCACCGGTGGTGGATTAAGGCACTTCACGGCTCCTCCAGCCCCGGATAACTGTCAGCTGCGTGAGGTGCTGCTCTCCCTCTCTCATAGAGGCATTGAGAGATAAAACAGTGATGGCTGGAAGTATAAAGCCCTGCAATAAAGGTGAAAGGATGAAATGGAGCTGTGAAGATAGCCTGACTCTCTGGAAATGGAAGTAGGGTAAATGTACTACTGGGTAGTCTCTACAAAAATACAGTTAATGTCAGGGCCAGCTGCACCATTGCTTTAAATGAGAGGAATTGTACAGCTGCTTCCAGCATACCATGAGCAAGTTTATTTGTGTAGCCCTGATATGGGGAGGAGGGGAGATGCTCCAATAAATCCATTTAGTAAATCCAGCAATGGTTAATACGGTCATGAAAATATACTTGTTATCACTAAAGGAGATTTACCTATTACAAAGATAATCAACTTAGTGAGATAATGGATTAAAGTGAATTAAAGTTTGACCATGTGGTATTAATAGTAAGTAATAATTACATCAATGAGTGTTTTCACAATATCTGAAAATAAAGCCATGGTGCATTACGGCAAACAGACATCCGTTATGGTGGATGGACAAAAATGATTTAAATACCTGAAGTGTTGACTCAGTGCAGCAGGCCACTGAAGAACTAGAAGAAAAGTGGATTTATAGGAAAAATGTGCTGACCTCTGAATAAGAATAATGAAGTGTTCCTCGAAATGCTGGAGAGGGTGGCTTAGCTATTATGCTAGGAAGAACAATATTAAGGAGGATTTTCATTTAATGTTGACTATTGCACTAAACCAATTCAGAAATGGAAGGACTGGCTCATTTTGTAACTAGATGGGATAGTGCTTTATATTTCATTTTGCATAAGTATTGTGGTGAAATGAAGTGACGCTTTAACAGAGTAGTGCTGACCACAATTTAATAACAGTCCAAATTTCAAGTACTGCAGGGAATTAAGCGATACATACAGTTAGATTAAAGTGTAGGCAGACCAAATTAGATAAAAAGAGGAATATATTAAGAAACAGAGTAGTGTCAGTGTTTATTTTGAAAAAGAACTTGAGAAGAAAATTGGCCAACATGTTGAGATAGTAGAGTTCACCCCAAAGGAGCACAGAGGATTACAAAAGCTCTTTGGAGACTTCAAAACCAGTGTGGCTGCCTCACTTAGTTTGGAGCAGGGATACTAATGTGAAAAACCAGAAACCTGAAGTACTGTCAGAGATTCATAATAATACCTAAAAAAAAAAAAAAAAAATAGATATAAAGAAATAAAGGAGTTAAAAACACCCAAAAAGCAAAATTGGAAAAATGAATTGTTAATTCTATTCATCAGGACACCAAAATAGAGAATCAAAATGGGGTGATATCCCAGTTCTGCTCTTCTTGGAGAGCAAAAGTTTGCTTTTGATTCTTTGAGAGAGTTTTTAATGTTTTAAAGGACAGCAGGAAGCCTCTGAAAAGGCATCAGCCTCCTCTTGTGCCTTTGAACGTTTTTTGCATAAATGGAAAAACAGAAACGAGTGGAACCCCTTAAAAGGGTAACACAGTGAAGAATTGCCTGGTGCTGCAGAGGAAATAGCTGAGAGACTTAGTCATGATGTGCAAAGAAAGATGAGAACTTGGTTTTCAGTCTTTCGGAGCCCTTTTTAGTTTGAGATAACTGTGTGCCACAGGAACTTGCTACAGGAGACATTTTGGTTTTGTAGAAGACCTGGGATAGTTTTAGCTCTGCTTTTTTTAGTCAGAGCTGACTTGGTGTATGGACTAAACTGTATCCTCTTTCCTTACCTCCTTTCGGCCCCCAGGCAGGATTTTTTTTCTCATCTGTCTTCTCAGTCCTCTTGTTTCGATTATATCGATGGGGAAAAAAGTCCATTTACAAACTTTGTTTGCATCATCATTGGCTTAACCACAATTATGTGGTAACACTTGAGTTTTTTGGTTAATCCTTGAGGAAATACCCACCATGCTCCCAAGGTTCAGGAACCCCTTCCCTTAGCTACACACTCAAGACCCACATGTACTTTCCTGCTCTACCACTGTGGTCACCACACCTATCTTGGCTGATGGTGCGGGTGCTGCCTGGCCTCTCTGCTACCCCTGTTCCTGCCTCCACCACCAGTTAAGGCAGCGTACCAACACCAGTGGTGGTGGTGGCCGGAACTGTGGTGTCAGAAAAAAAATATTTTTTTCCTATATCTGGAAAAAAAATAATAATTGGTCCATTTCTGTGCATGATAGATCCATAATAAGTCAGCCCCCACCACCTCCCCTTTCAGGCCTTTGTCTGTTACTTAATCTTTCCTGCATGAACTTGTGAATCCTATATTGCAAGGTTGCTAGCGTTGTTGAGAATTGTTGGGTTCTCTCTTTCTGTTGTGAATCTGCCATGTGAAAATCCTATAAATTAAATCCCATAAGGAGTAAGGACCTCCTACCTATCCCACCTACCTATCCCTACCTACCACCCAACACTTTTCTTGTTCTTTCCATTGTCTCAATGGCTCCTGCAGCTGGAGAAAATGCCAGGTAATTTGGGAAGCAAGGAACAGAGCCCTTAAGCATGGGGATTCAGTGGGAAAATTCAGAGATCTCTCTTCCGTTTAGCTTCACTAATCACTAAGTCCTAGCATACAGAAGTGACATTGAATATTCCCAATCAAACCATCAAGAAGGGGAATTTCTTGGTATTGTCATTAAAAGCTTAATTCTGTGAAAGAAACTTCTTCTAAGCTATTGCAGCTGCCTCTGGTTTCTCAGCTTAGCTACTGGGCACAGCGGTCACGGTAAGGTGAGATACCTGCTTAGTCCTTCCTCAACTCACAGTGTTGATGTAGTTTGAAAACCTGCCTTTTGGTGGGCACATCTATCTCATGATGAACAGGAGGATTTTTCTATTCTTTCCACCAATTTAAATGACTCTAGGTCTTCACAACTTACACACCAACCTTTACGAAGGCAGCTTACCAGAAAAGTTATTCCGGTCCAGTTTTGCGTCCAATGAGTAATGCTTACCGCTGCAAACCTAGGAAAGGGAAAAAGGAAGATTAAGGTTAAGGCAGAAATAGCTCAGCAGGTCTCTCAACCTCCTCCGTAGGACTGTTCTTAGCTTGTATGAAAGGAGTGGGGGGCAGCTGAGCATTAGCTAGAATCGGGCTAAAAAATTCTTGATGTCAAGTGCCAATGATAAAGTTAAAATGAAGGCACAGCTTGTTCATCTGGGAAAACACTGGCTACTGGTAAGCAATTATTTTTTTACCTGCGATTCTAGATTTGGTAAGGGACTGCAATCAAAAAGTCCAAGGAGGATTAATTTTAGACATGAATGATAACCAACCTGTGAATCTGAAGTTGCTCATGTATAAAAATGAAATAAAAAGTACAA